GCTGGAGAGATAAACCTCTCGCCATCCTTACACAGCTTGTCACGATGGACCACGAAATGGACTTGAAGCTCAACAGCATCGTCATACATCTGTAACATAAGCAAAGCAATGACTGAGTTATTGATGCACAACTTAGAATAAAAAATACAATCAAGAACTTGAAGTACCTCACAGTCTGAACGACTGATTTTTCTTGCTTTCTCAAAAATAGCAAAGATCTCTTCTTGYAATTTATCTAGTCTTCTGTAATATCCCTGGAGAAAGAAACGTAATTTTAACAACCAGTTTCAACCAGTTGACAGTTACAGTACTGTACATCTTGACTTACCCTTTTTAGGTTTTCRCCAATGCTTTCCAATGTGATTTTGCTGTTTTAAGATAAATTCATGTTAACTTTAGTCAGGGCATAGAAAATACTGTAAAGATATGATAGAAATTAAATTTAAGGATCAGTATTTAGTACTCTTGTCTTCACAAGTGAACAACAGTTTAAGATGGTTAGGAAACCATCACTGAAAACACTCTAAGACTGACGCAAAGGACATCATCACCTCCTCACTCTATTCTAAACACAAACACTTTTATTAACTGTTTGTYACTGACAGTAGATATTTTTGTTTTCTTGTTACTTTTTTGGTTCATTATATTATTTAGCCTGCTTATTCTGTTTGTTTATGGTAAAAAAATTGTATGTTCATAGTGCTTGTCTTTCTCTATTCATCTCGAAATAATTTTTTTTTACATATACTATTGTTTGTTAGTCTGCCCTTATGTTTGCCTTTTTCTTTGTCATCTACCTGAGTACTTATTTAATATTATGACTGTTTTACCAGTGAATTTGTTATAAAATCTTTGAAGTTTTACTTACTTTCCACCGTGCTTAACAGACAACTCCACAAGTGAGTCACTAAAGCATCTTCCTTCATCRTCCTAGAAATTAATAAAACAGGTTGATAATTATAGGAAAAGGAAACAGAATAACAACAACAGCATAAAATAACAGACAATATGAAGTACAATCATTATTATTAGCATAGTTAATAGAGAGGACTCCCCTCTCTATTACATTGCGACTACTGAAACCGGGTCCACCTAGAGAATATAAAATAATCACAATTTCGATTGAAACAAGGCTAAAAAAAGCTAAAAAGCCATGATCAGTGATATTGCAAAGAACTAAAGCTTAATTGAGTTGAAGTTTCCTTAGTTTGAATCCTCTGTTTTCAATCAAATTTGTGGGATTTTATATTCTCTAGGTGCACCCAGTTTCAGTAGCCGCACTGTAACAATGTTATTAGACATCTATAAATTATGAAATACGTAAACATACCACATGTTGCATGACAGAGTCATAAAGAGTTGTCAATAACTTCTGCACCAGGAATGGAACATGTGGAATCTTGTTTTCATCACCTAAATTAATAATAAGTAAAATTAATAAATGAATTAATGATTAATGATTAAAAGCTGTCAAGAAAACTTTAAAACTCTTCACAATTCCTTTCCATATTTAAAGACTTTTTAAAGCTTTTAAAAAAGCTTGATGCTAATTTTCACCAAAAGCAGGCAAAAGACAAAATAAATAAGGATCAGTATGAGTATGCTGTCTTCATAGATGCGTAGCAGTATATGACGGCAGGCAACCGTCACTGACCACACCCTATGACGCAAATTACATCATCATTTCCTCAAAATATGAATTCTTCACAGGAACAACATTGTTATAAAAATTTTGAAATAATGCTAAGTAAACTTGAGTGAAAACTTTCTTTGCAATTATTGCGACCATACTTTTCTAATACAATTACAGGGTAGAATGCATTTTTTACTTCATATTGTAAACCCAAGGATTCTTATCTTGTAATGTATTGCTTGGCCAGAAGCCCAATATTTCTCTTACCTACTAACTCTGCTTTTTTTCTTAAAAGAGCTCTCAATAAACTCAAGGCATCCTGTAAAAACAATGAACTTGTAGATGAGTCCTGGCAACATGTAGTAATCAGATTAACAACAATCTCCTTGCAGGGGGAGGGGAGGGGGAAAACAWTGCACACTAAGGATCAGTATGTATATAGTGTCTTCATAAAAATGTAGTAGTATACGACGGCAGGCAACCGTCACTGACCACACCCTATGACGCAAATTACATCATCACTTCCTTATGTCATATTGCATGCAATTGGAATAGAATTTTCTAGAGTTTAAATGAATCCAGCTTGTAGCAAATTATTTTGCTTACTTTGTAAACCTGTGAATCTGGTTCATTGTAGCGGCAAGCATTGTCAAACATAAGGTGGAAATCTGACATGAAGTCATCAAGTGTCTGGTACTGATCTCCGTTTAGTTTGGACTGGATTTTAGCCATGTCAATGGGCTTCTTGATGAGTGTGTAGTAATCGGGATACTCCTGAAGAGAAATGATGAGATGAGTTTTAAGAATAATTATAGAAAGAAAGAGAGTCAAATAACAAATAAATATACATGACATACAATCAGTCATTTAAGGAAATTCTCCTAACTGCTCCATTAAAAATTAACACACATTATTAATTATAAATATYAAGATATTATTTAGATTATGTTTTTCTTAGAGTTAAACAACAATTAGTAATTATCAACAAATCAATACATGCATGAATGATTTATTTTTTAATGATAAAATAAATAATTAAATACTCACTGCTCTAGATGGTAGTTTTTGAAAGATTAGACAGAGCTGGCGTCCDCTCATATCCTAGAAATAGACATAATAAACATATAAAAACATCATTGTAAAATCATAAAATGCATACATGCTCAGAATGTGTAAGATTATTAACATGGATCAGATTATACCCTTGGTTTCTCTCCATAGACATATGGTTTACATGCTACCAAAGCTAYCCATATATCTTATGATTCCCCGAGTTATGTCATCATATCCATGTCAATCATCCATATTATATTTAATTTAATATACAGCCTTTCGCAAAAATTATGAGAATTGTCTAAATATCTAAATATCATAATATCCATATCCATATATTGTCCGGAACACGCGGGTTTGCTAGAATAATTCATTGTTGACATCGAGAAAATGTTCAGAACTACGGATAAGTACGTCGCCAAAAAAAACTAAACTACAAAGACAAGGGACTAAGGGCATCGTGCGAGATTACCCATCATACACTCGATATTATGATATTCAGACATTTCAACAATTCTCATAATTTTTGCAAAAGGCTGTAAGGGAMCAAATACATATATATTGCCAAATACAGTACGGTTTGAGACACCTCTTTATTCATRAATGATRAATGAATAAATYCATGGATTCATTTTATCAGATTCAAGGAATTTTCAAGGAGTTTTGGGGATTTTCAACGACTTTTCAATTCCAGGACTTTTCAAGGATTTCAAGGAGTAKCACGRACCSTGACTATCATGAAGTWAAGACAAATTCAGTCTTACCGTACAATCTTTCACAGCACTAATCAGTTCTTTGCACAACTCTTTCAGATCACTGCTAGCTGATGGTACTTGGTAATATTTCCTGGCAGCACCAGGYGAACTCCTGGAAAACAAGAAACAATCAAATCAAGACAAACTAGCAAATAAAACATTTGAAGGAAAAAGGAGAGCAAAAATGATCAACTTCTTACGAGATTCTSCCTGATTTGGTTGGAGTAGTTATTTTCGCAACAGGAGAAGACATGGCTGAGGGTCCAGCTTCTGGAGTTACTGAAAAGAAACAAAAGGAAATTTGTATTCATTTATCTTTTCATTTCTTAATTAATTTATATTGCTATTTACCTGGGTGAATAGGTCCCAATGCCTTTTTCTTCTTTTTTAAAACTTTCTCAAGAACACAGGCATCCTAGAAATAGGATAAAAAGAAAGTTTTATACTGGCTTGTGCCACTACAAATAGAAATAGAAATACCTGATAAACTTGGGAGTCTTCTTCATTGTAGTACCTGGCATTATCAAACATGACTTCAAAGTCAAGCAGCAACTCYTCTTCAGAAGCATACTAGAATAAAAATGTAATCTTCTTTAATTGAGAACAGATTGAAAACAAAAAGGAATTAAACTAAATATTACAAATAAACTCAATAAACTTAAACTAAAGTTTAAGGATCAGTATGTGTATGCTGTCTTCATAGATGTGTGTCAGTATAYRACGGCAGGCAACCGTCACTGACAACACCCTATGACGCAAATTACATCATCACTTCCAAGTTATATCGGCGTTGTTTTACCCACAACAAAACCTACCTTATTATCACGAATGTTAACTTCTATTTGACTGAGACAAACAGGTTCAGAAATAACTTTGTAGTAATCTGGATACTCCTATAGTAGAAACAGATATAGAATGACAAAAAATATTAAATAGAGATGAAGAATATGACACGCTCAATGGTTCTAAACTATGTAGTGAAGTTTAATGTGTACTTCTTTTCATTCTTGTCTTTTTTTCTCTTGGGTATGTGGGCAGGGTGGTCATTAAATTTTGAAGTAAGCCTCAAACCTCAGGTCTCAGGTGTTTAATTTCTTCTGTTTCTGCTACATGCATGTTTCAGGATTGCAATGCAAATCTCATGAAGGACATATATTKATATTTTGATTTTCAATTCAAATCTTTTGAACACAATAACAATGTACTTCCTAGAGCCGCAATATTCAAATTTGTAATTTTCTGATTTGTACTCAAACTACAAACTCTTTACTCAAATTACTTTACTCTTGAAAATGGTGCCTCATGGCACTGAAACATCGAGTTTTCTTGTTGTAATAAATTATAGTAAAAATTATTAAGAACAAACATCTTATACGATTTTCAATTAAGGTTTGTTAAAAGGAAGAACAGGACAGTTTACAGCCTGGTGTACTCTAACTTGTTGTATTTTCTTTTGGAAACTAATAASCAACAAAGAGTTTTACATTTAATCATAGCCAGGAATTTATATATTTTAGTTCTGACTGACCTCAGATGATGGCAAATCCATGAAGATAGCACACAAGTATCGGCCAGTTTCATCCTTGAAAAAAATAAATAACAAGTTTACAGGAAAGTGAGTGAGTGACTTAGTGAGTGACAGATTTTCCCCCCTCCAATAACTCTTCGATTGCTTTGCAATCTTAGAGTTAAAAATGACAATTATTCTTCCAAATCAACTGTAGAAAAACTTTTGTGTCCTCACGCAAGTAACATGGTGACTGACGAAAACTTAAGCTACRATTAAAACGTTTAAACTTATCAAATTCATTAATAATTCATAAGGTAAACACAATGGAAAATCATTGCTGTGACCGCATCTTTAAGCAAGAGATTTGTCCTGATTTGCATACGACTTTAACTTCGATTTTCTCTTACAAATGATATTTTATCCTGAAGTTTTTTTTGAAATAAGCTTTACCTTATGTTGGAATTTGATAATATAAAATATTCAAGTCTGACCTTTATGGACTATAAAACTGCTCGCTTGCAGCTCACAGTTTTAAATGCCCATAAAGGTCTCCCGCTCATATTTTATATATTACATAAAGTTGAGCAAAAAAAGGCAAATTGTTACTAAAACGACACCTGATARTTCAGCACKGCTTTTGCAAGTTGCCTCATTCTCTTTTTCAAYACCARAGGATCCACATCTTCAGTTTTCTTCTTCTTTGGTTTTCCATCAGCAGTGACCTTTTTCTTTGTCTTCATCTCTTTAATYTGTCTGAACTCAGGTKGTTGAACAACAGCAGGCTCTTCAATAGTTGGGACTTCTGCTTGAACTGGATCAGCCTGTTTTTTGACTTTTTTCTTCTTTGACTGTAGGAGAAAAAGCAACTCAATATATTGGTGTTTTTGATCACAGCACGAATCAGATTGCACATGTCAGTTGTCCATTGAGATAATTTTGAAGTTTAAGCAAGGWTATGGGTCTAAAAATACCRCTCTTTWCAAAGGCTTTTTGGACTATTCTTTATCAACTGCTGGAAGAAAAAAAATTGATAGTTTAACAGCACGTCTGTTATATTTCATGGTGAGAGCCAAGCTGCATTTAACATCAGCTGTCCTATCTGACCTTGTTGACTTGCTTTAAAAAATGTAAAAAAAAGGACCAYTCTGTTTTTAACTGCTTGAGAAAAACAATCGATGATATTATTAAGGTTACATTAAACCTTCGTGATATACCTTCTTTAAAATATTATTCTTGTGTTAAATAAAAGCTAATAAACATATAATTTTATATCATTTGAAAGCCTATAGAATTAAGATTACAATTTTATTATAATTTTTGTTTTTAAATAATACAATTTTTAAGAGTACCACATGTTTTTACACAAAATGAGTGATTTTGTTGTGTAAATATAAGTCAAAAGTTTGTGGATCTACTAAATAAAGAAGATTTTTATAGCAAAACAATCTGCCCATATCAATTTTAATTAAGCCGYCAATGGCGACACAACTCGAAGATTGTCAGACAATAAATCTGGACATAAGTCTCTGTATAAAGCCTCTTACGAAGGATAAAGTTTATATGAATCGATGAGCATTACATCACTTATCGACGTGGATCGGAATAATCCTTGAAATCATCATAATAGCAATGCTGTATTTATGAGCCATATTCACACGATATCTCCTAAAACAACTTCTGAAATCAACAGATTCTTATACAAGAACTTCCAGACCTCAAAAATCACATTTTGTGTGTTTAAAAAGCCATTTCTGTATCAAAACACCTTTTTAATGCGACACAAGAATAAATTTTTAACGATGGCATGYCGCAGAGGTTCAGAGTAACCTTTTTTGTTAAATTTCACTGTGAAATTTGGACCAATGACGATTATGATTATTATTTTTTCTTTCTGACCGTTGGATGAAAAACAACTATTAATTGGTTTGACAATATCTTTTTATATGTCACACTGGGTGCATTCAGGAATATTATCAGCTGTTCATAATCATGATCATTTCTGACTTTGATAAAGTTTGTGGGATAAAAAAGCACAGGGAAGGAACTAGATTGAAATACATGCAAAAAAACAACTTTGTTTAATAATACATAACAAATTGATGAAAGGAATATAGAAAAAAGAGAACACAACAACCACAAAAAAATGGATAAAAAAAGGGAAAAAGAAAAAAAATGAATGAAAAAAAAAATGAAAGAAAGAAAGAATGGTAAAAAAGGAAAGAATAAATAAGCAGAAAAATAAAATGAAAGAGAGGAATGGAGAGTATAAAACAAAAAATAAAAATGAGCAACTTAAAGACACATAAAAATCTTTAGAGACAAATGAAAGAGAGGAACAAAATTTAAGATATTCATTCAAATAAAAAAAACTTTCATTGTGTACCTTGAGAAAGTCCTCTAAATTGATGCCTTTCTCTTGAATCATTTTACTTATTTCTATCTTYTTTCGTTTGAGATGTTCAAGCATTCTTTCAGCATCCTATTTAACAAATAAAAACATCAGAATAGGCCATTTGCAATTATGGCGTAACTATACTACAACTACCAGAGAGCCTTGTGCATTTTCATTGTTATTCCGATTTTTAATCCCCTTGGAGATTAATAAAACAATTGGCACTAATTGCATTACAAAAGAAAGTTGGCAAAGCATTCTGGTAATTTTAGTAAATGACGCCATAATGCAAATCGGCTATTGTATCAGCTACAGATAATAAAATATATTTTGACACTTTGCACTATTTACCACTAAATAGTGCTTCCTTAGTGGTACAAGTATCTAGTTTTATTTATGTTGGATAATTTACATTAKCTTTTTATATTTCTTGAAAAATCATGAATGATTGATAATGATTAAGATTATAAATTCTACTGAAKATGACTTCCTAGCAGGATGTCAAAAAGTCAGGTAACTATCACTGTCTCTCAACATTTCTCACACCCCGACGATCATTTCACACCTCCTATCTGATTCCATAAGTTGTGGTTTTTGCTCCTTGGTTTTTCGGTTTGTCACGAAAATAACAAYTTTTATGAAATGGAGAAATATAGGTATTTCATAGATAATTATAAGATAAAATATAATATTTACCTTATAAAGCATAGAGTTTGGCTCATTATAYGTTTGTGCATTGGTAAAACACACTTCCATTTCACTTTCCAAAGCATCGAGAGTATCATAGAGACCACTCTAAAGTAGTCAACAAAAATGTACTTTTTAGTTATTTTCTCATAACGCTGGTATTGTGAAAAATACATTGAAGAATTGTCAATTATGAGAATTGCAAGGAGGATCTCACCTTTATTTGAGATCTGATTTTCATCATGGCTATGGGTTTCTTGATGACTTCGTAATAATCAGGGTAAGCCCTATGAATTGTTTGATCTTAAGTTATAAGCTCTTAGTTTATATTTTTAACCTACTTAAACATACAGCCTTTTGCAAAAATTATGAGAATTGTCGAAATATCTAAATATCATAATATCAATTGCATGATGGGTAATCCCACGCGATTCCCGTTTGTCCTTTGTCATTGTAGTTTTTTAGTTTTTTTCGGCGGTGACGGACTTATCCGTAGTTCTGAACATTTTCTCGATGTCAACAATGAATTCTTTAGCAAACCCGCGTGTTCTGGACAATATATGGATATGGATATTATTATATTTAGATATTTAGACAATTCTCATCATTTTTGCAAAAGGCTGTAATGAACAACCATCACAAATATAGCAAAAATACCAAAACTAACTGCCTTTACTTTCTCATGCACATATAATTTTATTTAAAACCTGACAGTGGTGATAAGCCGGTCACCAAACAAAGTCATAGACAAAAGGGAGAAACATTCCTAAATCCCCTTGAGTCTTGGCACACCGCAAAAGACAAGTTTGCGGACAACAACTCAAAACCATTGCCTGGACAATATAATGATCTTCTATTCAAAACTTAATATATATTTCATTGTAATTTATGCTTATAGTTCATTCTTGACAATGACCAATGATCAAAAGGTCAAAAGCTTGAAATCACAGTAAAAGAGAACCAGAGAACATAGTCTAGACTCATTTATAATAATCCTGGTTTCGCGTCCATATTGAAATATTATTTTCTCTGACAAATTTCTTTTTGAACAATAAAAAAATACCTCAAAAACCTCTACCTGCGTGATGGTAGTCTAAGGAAGGGTTCAATCATCAGCCTTCCTGTTACGTCAGTRTATTTGTAGATCTCATTGAATAACATCATCAAAGGATTGTCAGAATCATCATCACCATCTTCATCCCCTAAAGTATAAACTTATGTTAAAATTCTCCTTGCACCTCCCCCCAAGAGTTCCTGATAGTAATCTGTCTTCATACTGGTCAAATATCCCCACCCTCCTACCCTAGCATTCTCCTCACACCTCTCCCCAGGAGTTACCTTGTGTGGTGTCTTCATACTGGATAACCATCCCCACCCTCCTACACTAGCATTCTCCTCACACCTCTCCCCTGGAGTTACCTTGTGTGGTGTCTTCATACTGGATAACCATCCCCACCCTCCTACACTAGCATTCTCCTCACACCTCTCCCCTGGAGTTACCTTGTGTGGTGTCTTCATACTGGATAACCATCCCCACCCTCCTACACTAGCATTCTCCTCACACCTCTCCCCTGGAGTTACCTTGTGTGGTGTCTTCATACTGGCCAAACTTCCCCACCCTCCTACCCTTAGTATTCTCCTCACACCTCTCCCCAGGAGTTACCTTGTGTGCTGTCTTCATACTGTTCATCTTGTGCAAATGAACCAGCTTGATATGTTGCCTGGTCGTCTTCCTCCTCAAGCAAAGCAGAGATTGCAGAGCTGAAGTGACCTGTGCTTCGCCTTGCCCTACGATATGGTCAATATAGACAGTTGGTAGAGTACATTAAATGTGTGCAACACTTTCCAATATTCACTACACAATAGTGTTAATTAAACAATAGAAAACAATAGAATTAGCATAATTTAGCAGTATTTAGTGGTATTTATGTTACACAGTTTTAGTGTTTGTACTCTATATTAGTTTGGTAAAATGAGTAGCTTAATGTTTGACTTTATAACACTAACTTGAGCCTGGAGCTTGATTTGGCACCCATCACAGCATGATCAATTTCTGCTTTTTTGGTCTGGATCAACTTTTTGATTGTTGATGCATCCTGTAAGAATAGTGTCTCTGTCAATAATTTGTTATTACTCTTCAAAACTGTCTCCACTTTGCTCTTTTGAATGGTAGCCATGTTTTTGTGTTTAAGGGAGACAATAGGCCATTTGCATGATGGCGTAACTTTACTACAACTACCAGAAAGCCTTGCGCATTTTCAGATTTTTAACCCCCTTGGAGATTAAACAATTGGCACTAATTGCATTACAAAAGAAAGTTGGCAATGTAGTTAATGAGGCCATAATACAAATCGGCTATTGGTAACTCAAAACACATGAAGACACCACATGCCCCTTCAAGCTATGGGGCGCCCCCACAGCTGCAAGGCATGCTAGGATATAGGCCTCGAGTATAACTTAGCCTATATTACATTTAGCCACATTAAAAACTTTGCTTCGCTGCACAAAACGACATTCCTGCAAATCAGTGCCTATTGACAAATTAACTAGACCCTGCATGCAGGGTTAACTCGTGCCCTACATGGTTTTGGTTTATTGACGCTGAACTATTTTGTGGTATTCATTTGGCTCACGGGTTACGTCATAAGACTGGACATATTTTAAAGAAAACATGGTGTGCATGCTTTTATTTTAACTTAAAATGGTTTGACAACGTACGGAATTGGAAAAGAAAATTGAAAAAGGTGGATGAATATTGATTGGCCTAGCTATAGGAATTAAATTATTGATTCGTTGAACTCAAAATTGTGTTAATATTACACCAATTTTACACGCTGCTATTTTGTAGTAGGTTTTTATTTTAAATGTTGTGATTGAGAATAACAAAAGATAAATTTTCTGAAATCACAATAAGAACTATATATGTACAGAATTTTCTTTCTGCAGTATAAACTTATAATAAATCTATGAAAATGAGATCATAATTTCTCCTCTTGCTGAATAGTTTGTATAGATGCATATATTGCTGATCAAATGATAATTTTTGCAAAAGTGTGTATAATGWAGTAGAGATTTAAACAGTAACAAATAGCTAATGAACTCAACTGG